ATGATGGCTGCCCGAAAAATGAACTGTAGTGAAGAACAAATGGTTGTTGTAGCTCTCACGAAGGGTCGGCTCAGAGATGGTGGCGGGAACAAAACAAGGGAGAGATAATCTTCTTATCCTACTAGGATCAGATTTTAAGAGAGAGAGAGGAGGGAGTAGCGAGATGAGGATGACGAACAGAGAAAAGAAAAGGGCTGCGGAAAAATTTTAATCTCAAGCTAAGGGTTTTTAATTCCATATATATAGCATTAGGGTATGTTTGTCTTGCCTTCCAAGACACACACACACATATACACGCATACACACACACGAAGGAAGGGAAAATCCGGGTCTGCTGGGCGGTTCAGCTGCTTTGCCGCAGGTTCTCGCACACGGCTCGGGCTCTTGGTTCAACACTTTAATTTAGACGAGGCTCGGTACGAACGTTCGATAATTAAAATAAGACAAGATATAGGTATATAAATACACATAATAATATTATCTATTAATACACATTAATCATATTTAATCAATTAGGCATATTAGACAATTATATAAATATTAATAATAATATTAGTAATCAAATAAATAATTAAAAGCAATTAGGCACTTAGCAATAATATTTATAATAATATCAATATCAACAATCATTAGGCAATCAAATAATAATAATATTAATAATAAAGAGAATAAATAATAAATAACCCATTTATTCAATATTCAAACGGGGTATTACAAAAGGGTTCACTCTTGGAGTTGTTGTGCTGTGACTCGATCGTGGTCTCTGTGGACGAGTGGCAAACTGTGACCTCTGGTCGAGATGGTTGCTAAATCACGATGTTGTTGAATTTCAGATTCGCTTGGGCCGAGTACGTTCAAGGGAATCGAGAAGCTTAAGGGATGTGATAAAGAAAATGCTTATGAGTTTGATCTGAGGAAAGACTTTTTCGCAGGTCGACGGGCGACGATGGGTCTGGACGGCGACTCCCGGACAGATCACGAGCAGATTGACGGGTTTCTTGCGGGTCTCGCCGGAAAAGGTAAAAAGGGGCGACAAGTTACATGTGTCGCAAGAGAAGACGACCATCCGCCGGTGCGCCACGACGAGGGGAATCCATTGGTGACCTCGGATGCAAGTGATTGGCCGGAAAATCACCGAAAAATCAAAGAAGATGACCGGATTTTGACTAATTTGTTTTTAGATCTACAAACTTTGACCGCTAAATTGATGACCCTCCGGTAAGAATTTTTGCGTGAAATTCCAAGGGTAGAACAAGCTTCACGAGAGCTTCACGATGGTACCAACGGTTTTCTGATCAGAGCAATTTGACCGGCGGCCGGCGGCGGAGGCGGCGGCGGCATGCAGTGGCGCCCGGCAAAGGTCAGGATCAGAAGATTCGTCTCCGCGAGAGGATTCCGGTGGTACCCTCTGATTTTCGACAGCCTTCCCGGATTTTCGGGAAAATGGACTTGAAGGTTGATAGTTGACGGGAATTACTTAGATCTGGAAACTTTGACCAGAAAATCGACGGCCTTCCCGGATGAATTTTCGAACGAAACTTTAAGGGGAGATCCACCTCGAGGAAATCTATCCAATGGTGTAAAAATATTTCCGATCCGGCCACTTTGGCCAGAGGCCGGCGGCAGCGGTGGCGGCCGGCGGCATTTCCGGTTGCTGCGGTTGCTCGAGTCGAAGGAGCTTTGTTCGAACTTTAAGATAGGACACCGTTTGGCTTCTTGAATGGGTCCTCACAGACGGCGCCAAAATTATAGGACAAAGATGTTACCCGGGCTCCATCGACTCGGACGGCCACCTTACCTGCAAGAACCCAAAGTGGGGACCCTGGGAGGGGTGCCGGGCTTTGGGCCTCCGATGCTTAAGTGAGTACTGGATTCATATGAGAAGGTATAGAGAGAGAGTAGAGAGAAAGTGTGTAGAGAATGATTAGAGAATGTAGAAAATGAGTACCTTAGCCCCTTTTTATAGGGGGAGTGTACCTCATATTCCAAGTTGGACTTGACCTAGGTTGGGCTGAGCCCATCTTATCATATCAAGTGTCTTAGCCTATGTATAGGCGTATTCTTTAATATATATCCCTAAAAACCGGTCGGGTATGACATGCTATATCAGATACTACCGGTCGATCTGGCAGTACTAGCCATGGCTATATCACTAACCGAATTTATCTCATTAACAAACTTGCCAAAATTTTTGAAATTAAAATAATAAGATTATTCTTACGGGTATACTTACCATAATACACTTTAAACACTTTTTGAAAATAACTTTGAATTATTCCGTCTTTTACTCTATTTTAAATTCAAAATTAAAATTTTAAATATTTTCATAAACATTATTGTTTATGTTTTCCTTATGTAATATAATTTAAATTTGGTTAATAGATTTTTAAATTCAAACATTTAAAGAAAAATACCACAAATGATTTTTTTTGTTACATTTCGTTTTATCTTCACTTCCATATAATCACATTCCTAACATACTAATTAGTATAATATTTTTTTATCCACGTTTATATAATCAAGTTTCTTAAAATATAATTAATATAATATTTTAATTAGTCATTTGTATAACTTGATTTATCTCATTAACAAACTTGCCATATTTTTATTTAAATTTAAAAAATTTGGATGATTTTGATCTGTAAAAATATAATTTTACTTTAAAGTATGGATTCTTTCCATTATTTTTTTTACATTAACAATCATATATTAGATAATTGATTTTAAAAAAAAAACGTAAGGTTTAATAATATTCCTTAAATAAAAAATATTGTATAAAGAGAAGTGTTTAATAATGTATATTTTTCATTGTTTGTATTTATTTTATTTTCATAATAGATGAGATGTGAAAAATATAGAAAAATTTTATGTAAAATAAAGTTTAAAAAAATATTTAAAATGTGAGATCCTCCGTGCATCGCACAAGATATACACTAGTAGCAAGATAACTATAAAGTAAAATTAATACTCAATCAACAACAACTTTTGCAACATATAACATAATTCGATTATAAATTACTACGTGCTTAATTGTAACAAAAATTGAGCCGACTGTGCGGTGACAAACTAGTTTTTAACTAACATATACCAAATAATGAGTTGGTACATTGTATAAATCTGGATTTAAACTAATTTTTTCATTTGCATTTGCAAGTAATGATTGCATAGACAAGAGTTGTGCGTCTCGTGTCTTGAATTCAAGACTTGATATTTCATTTCTAATAATTAGGTGATCTCTACTCTCACTTTGAGTGTTTTGAAATGGACCGAAGGAGAGTAATCAAATCAAACTATCAAAAATAGGGTTCGAGTTCAAGTCCCTCTCAAATTCTTAGGTACAATCAGTAAAAAATCTATCCTTCACTCTTGCATTAGCCCTAACAATGCAGCTTTTGTCCTTGGTAGACAACTTGTAGATAACTTTGTTTTAGCGAATGAATGCATCCACTTTATGAAATGTAAAAGAAAAGGCAAAAACTCTTTTATGGCATAAAACTTGATATGATGAAAGCTTTCGACATAGTAGAGTGGCCATTTATAGAAGCTATTTGCCAAAAAAATGGTTTTCTGCCAACAATTCATTTCCTGGATTATGTCCTGCATCACCACATCCTTTTTCTCTTTTTAACAGTGAAGACCAACCCTTGGGATATCTGAAACCTTCCAGAGGGTTACGACAGAGGGACCCCCTATCCCCTTACCTCTTCATTATCATCTCAGAAGCCTTCTCTAACCTCATAAAAAAAGCTGCCTCCCTTCACTCCTTCCAAGGTATCAAAATTAGCAAAAATTCCCTAGGAATCACCCACTTATTTTTTGCAGACGACTATATTGTTTTTTGTAAACCAGATTCCTCTCATGTCATTTTGATATCTAATACTCTTAAGCTTTATGGTTTGGATTCTGGACAAAAGGTCAATCTGACCAAGTCCTCAGCATTTTTCTCTAAAAATACTCCTATCTCTATGATAACCGAGATTAGTTCTATTCTTTGTGGGATCTCAGTGGTCAATCATCTAGATATTTAGGTTTGCCTCTTGGCATAGGTAACTCTTAAAGAGAAGTCTTCAGTTTCGTTTTTAATAACATTGTTAATAGGCTCAATTCTTGGAAAATTGTTTTTCTCAGTGACTCGGGGAAAGAAATCTTACTAAAAACTGTGGTAAACGCGCTCCCCTCTTTTGTTATGTCCTGCTTCACCCTTCCTATATGTGTGTGTAAAGAAATTTGCAGACATTCAACTACCTTTTGGTGGGGCTATAAAGAAAATGGAAATCAGAAGATCCACTAGGCCACTTGGAGCAAACTCACTCTGCCCAAGGAAGAAGGTGGTATAGGATTCAAATGCCTCATTTCAATGAAGCTTATTTCAAAACAACTTTGGAGGATTTCAGCCAGATTTATTGCTGAGCAAAGTTCTAAAAAGAAAATACTTCCATTGCACTCTATGGGAAGTGAAACATAAAGCATCATATTCTTGGATGTGGAGCACCTGGTTGAAAGCAAGAGCCCACCTCAGAAAAGTAACCCTGATTTCTATAAACAATGGAAAAGACACCTCAATCTGGAATGACCCTTGGCTTGCAGGTATCACAAATCTATCTCTTTCAGTTTCTTTTGCATCTAATAAGGAGAGGCTTCATAAGGTCAGTGAGCTCATGTCCCAGGATGGAGCACATTGGGATTCCGACCTAGTTACTCAAACCTTTAAGCCAAAAGAAGCCAAGCTTATATTAGCCATCCCTCTAACAAGACAAGGCCATAGAGACTCCATCATTTGGAATCCCCATAAGCATGGTTTATTCACAGTTAAGTCTGCATACTCCCTTATTCTTAAGTCTAAATTATCACGAGTTCAGTTTCCAGAATGAAGCAGAAACAGAAAGGTTCAATCCAAAGTCTGGAAAACAACCTGGGGTCAGAAAATAAAAAGCAAGCTAAAACTGTTCATATGGAAGCGCTGGTTTAACTACTTAGGCACTCAAGACCAACCTTTCAAGAAAGGGATGCAGATAGATCCTATTTGTGGGGTCTGTGGAAATGCTGAAGAATCACTAGAGCATATGTTCTTCACTTGTCAAAGAGCTGTTACAGTTTGGAAGCTTGCAGGTATTGAATGGGAAGGAGTTCACTGCTCTACACTGTCATTTAAATCTTGGTGGAGTAATATCTGTACAATGAGAAGGGGCCTTAGCTTCAATGATAGAATCCACTACTCTTCATTTATTCTTTGGAGATTGTGGAAAGCTAGGAACCTATGGATTTTTTGACAAAATCTGGAAATCAGAAGCTGAAATTGCTCTCAGTGCTTGGAGGGATTAGAGAGAATTTGAAACAGTGAACAATATTGAGGATGAGCATCACCCTTTGCTTTGGCTTTCTGTCCATTTTGGCTTTTTGGATTTCGATGGGAGACATATGATGCAACAACCTTTGCTAGCGACTAGTGTTAGTTCAGTGGTAAAGAAGCAGCCTAGAATACGTTCTTTAGATCTCTCAAGCATGCACATTAGTTCTTCCGGCTTGTAATTTTCTGTTATGTTTGTCCTCTTGATATCCAGACTCTTTGTATAATTTTTCCTGCTCTAATGTGTTAGTGTTATGGTGTAGGTAGTTAGTTTATGTATTTTTTAGTTTGCCTAGGGCTTTTCTCCTTTGTAACTTAGCTACAAATTGATAGCTAAGGTAAGCACCATATGGTGAGACCAGTTGAATTATTTTCTGAGTGGCTATAAAATTATTTCCTTTCGAAAAAAAAAAAAAAAAATCAGTCGAAAATCAAAAGGGTTCGATTATGCGAGCCAGGTGAAAGATGATTTTGGTGGTTGAGCAAAGGGCCTGTAGGCTGGGTCTTCAGCTCCTCGATCCAAAGGAACGCGACATCCAAGTAACGGCCCGTGTGATAAAGCTGCAGTAGCACCAGAGTTCCTGTAAAACCCAAGTAAATCTCCTATCCGGAACTATCTAATTTAGGGGGTGATTGTTTACAAAATATTTCACCTCAAATATTTTCAACTCAAAATTTAACTCAACTGTAACTCAACCCCACTATCTTTAATATTATTCATGTAATTAAATAATGCAAACCAATCATTCTTACACATCACATCAACTTTAATTCACTATTCATCCACTCACATAATTTTAACTACCAATCATTTATGTCCTATTTTATATCAAATCAATTTTAATCATTTTATTTTAAGTATTATTTTAATATATTTTTTAAATCCAACTAATAGTTAACCATACTACTTTTTCAACTTTAACCATAATTAACCAAAATGAAATATTTTGGATGAGAAGCCTCGGGTCGGGCGCGTCCACACACAGATTCACTCGAACCTCCCAGAAGTAGCACACACACATTCTTTCCTTCTTCTCCTTCTCCCTTCTTATATTCCCTCGTCAAATTCATCATTTTTCACCTCAAAAATCTCCCTCCAATCTCCCAACAAGGCTCATTTCTTTAGACACACTCCCGGCCTGATTGTCGGTTCAAATGGCTTCGACGTCGTCACTCGCCGCCGTCCAGCTTAATGCCAGGCGGCCGGATTTTGCTGGTAGAGCCGCCTTGTTCCCTCGGCGGCTGGTATGTGTGAACTTCTCGGTCAAGCCTGGAGCTTCGACAGCCCTTTGTTCCTTGAATTCGAGGCGTGGCCACGTGAGTTTTACCAGAAAGTTGGATAAGCCCAATTGGAATTCGCGCTCCTTCAGCGTACGCTGCGATGCCTCGTCTGGGGGAAGAGTAAGTTGATTGTATGTACGATTTTTTTATGGTTAGTTGATGAACTGATTTTTTAAGGGGGGTGGATACTCTGATTAATGTTGCAGATAACACAAGCGGAATTCACCGAAATGGCATGGCAAGCAATTGTATCTTCCCCTGAAGTGGCCAAGGAGAACAAGCATCAGATAGTAGAGACTGAACATTTGATGAAGGCTCTTTTGGAGCAGAAGGATGGGCTTGCTCGTCGTATATTTTCCAAGGCGGGCGTGGACAATACTCGCCTTCTGGAAGCTACCGATAAGTACATTCAGCGCCAGCCAAAGGTAGCTTGATTTGTAGCTTGTTTAATTATAATGCCGTGGTTGTATGTAAGAATGATTTAATTATGTATTTCATTTGGGATGGACAAGCCGAAGGTGTTTTAAAGCTTGTATGCTTCATGCTATTAACTTAACTAGCTATACCTTTTGATTCAAGTATCTTCTACACTGGTGACGTGGGCATTTCTTTAGGAAGTATAAAGAAATTATTCAGCATTTGGTTTAAATTACTTACAAATTTGTATGTCCATTACAAATGGAGCTGGGAGAGTCATTGTTGACAATTCTCCTGACATAGTGCTAATAATGGACTAGATCAAAATGGCTCAATTAAATTCTAGTGCTTCTTCTATTAGTGAAGTCTCTAGAAAATATATATATACCAAACGACGCAATGCACCTTAGGTCGCTACGGAAACAACCTCCTTGTATAATTACAAGGGTAAGGTATGCATACAACTGACCCCTCAGACCCCAACCTGTTGGGAATATACTGGGTATGTTGTTGTTGTTGTTGTTGTTTACAAATTCGTATATAGGAAAACTGATTTCTCAGTTACCCTGTCTGCGTTCCACACCTATGCTTCGTGTGGCATACGGCAGTATGGATTTGTTGCACAAGCTAGCAGCTACCAGTTTGTTTGGTGTTTTCTAATTCTAGTAAGTGTATATGTTATGTATGCACTTGACTTGCAAATCAATTTTCAAAGTGTTGTTCAAATAATGTCAGGTTCTTGGAGACTCAGCTGGATCAATGTTGGGACGAGACCTGGAAGGGCTGATACAGCGATCCAGAAGTTTCAAGAAAGAGTTTGGGGACTCGTTTGTCTCTGTAGAGCATTTAGTTCTTGGGTTTGCAAATGATGCTCGGTTCGGAAAGCAGTTGTTTAAGGATTTTCAGCTTTCTGTAAAGACACTGAAAGATGCCATCCAGGCAATAAGGGGTCACCAAAAAGTTATTGACCAAGGTAATAACTTCCTTCATTGGAGCTGATTTTCTGTTATTTTTATTTTTATTTTTTTTCTCATATGTCTCTCTTCCCCTCCGCTTGTTACTTGTTTAAAGTTCCCACCTTTTTGTCTTTCTACTAAATGGAAGAATTAGTCGTGCATTTGGATCCAGACTGGCCAACATTCACAAAAATGCAAATGATGAATCTTTTAAAAAATCGGAAACTTCTGTTTCCTCCATTTGTATTTCTTGTTTAATAAGCATTGAGTATATCCTCTCTTCATGATCTCTTCTCAGATCCTGAAGGAAAATATGAAGCACTTGAAAAATATGGAAAAGATTTAACAGCCATGGCAAGAGCTGGAAAGTTGGATCCCGTTATAGGAAGGGATGATGAAATACGCAGATGCATACAGATTCTATCAAGGAGAACCAAGAACAACCCTGTTCTAATTGGAGAGCCAGGTGTTGGGAAAACTGCAATTTCTGAAGGGTAAGATGTTGGTGTTTGTATAGTATGTCATTCAGTGTAGGAAGAGAATATACGACCTCGAAATGTCTGAACATGCATGCTAACTTTGCAGTTCTTGTTGATACATTCAAGTTTTGCATTTCTTATTGATCTTAGCAAGGATATATAGTACAGTACAATGAAATTGGCCAATAAGATAAATTAACCCATAAAATCTGCAGTCTGCTTTTGATTCAATTTCTTACAAAATTCAACTTGAATGACAGGCTAGCTCAGAGAATTGTTCAAGGAGATGTCCCTCAGGCTTTGATGAACCGCAGGGTGAATTATCTTTACATTTATTATTGAAACAGTTTTACTGAAATCCTCTGTGTATATCTTTCTTGTGTTTCCCTTATTCAGTGTAGAGCAAATTCTCTTTATTGGTGCAGTTGATATCTCTTGACATGGGAGCCCTCATTGCTGGTGCAAAATTCCGTGGAGAATTCGAAGATAGACTGAAAGCTGTGCTTAAGGAAGTCACCGACTCTGATGGCCAGATAGTTCTCTTTATTGATGAGATTCATACAGTAGTTGGTGCAGGTATGCTTCTGTTAGTTATTAGGGAGCCTTTCTGTTTGCATTGTCGTGCTCTTTGTTTTTTGGCATGACTTTTGTATGGCTTATCTGCAATCATATTTTAATTTTAGGACATGTAACTACTTGTTTTTGGGATTGATTGGTTTGGGCCTTTTCAATGTTCTTACTCCTATAAATGAGACCTAGATATGGATTTTTAACATATATCAGGTGCCACCAATGGTGCAATGGATGCTGGCAACCTTTTGAAGCCCATGCTTGGTCGTGGAGAGCTCAGATGCATTGGTGCAACCACTTTAGATGAGTACCGTAAATACATTGAAAAAGATCCAGCCTTGGAACGAAGGTTCCAGCAAGTTTATGTTGACCAGCCTACGGTAGAAGACACTATTTCTATTCTCCGGGGGCTGCGTGAAAGATATGAGCTGCATCATGGAGTCCGCATTTCGGACAGTGCCCTTGTTGAAGCTGCAATTTTGTCCGACCGGTACATCAGTGAGCGTTTTCTTCCTGACAAAGGTACAATAACCAAATTCAATTCTTAAAGGTCAATTATGTAAGCCTACTATCCATACCAAGTACCAAGAAAGCGCAATTTATCTTTTGGCAGAAAATTACTGACTTGCTGCATATTCACTTGTTCCGATTTCAGCTATTGACCTGGTTGATGAAGCAGCTGCCAAGCTGAAGATGGAGATTACTTCAAAGCCAACAGCTCTCGATGAGATCAACCGTACCGTTCTGAAACTTGAGATGGAAAGGCTATCCCTTACAAATGATACTGACAAAGCAACAAAAGATAGGTTGAGTCGCCTTGAAGCAGAACTGTCTCTTTTGAAGCAGCGACAATCTGAACTCAATGAGCAGTGGGAGCACGAGAAGACTGTCATGACTCGTATTCAGTCTATTAAGGAAGAGGTGCACACTTAATTCTTGGTATCATACGTCATAAAATTGAGTTTGCTAAAAGTTAGAACATGGTTAGTTTCTCTTGCAAATTTTGCATCCCTAACATCTGTTGAATGCCAATTCAACGAGATATATGTGCCGTTATAAAATAGACAAAGCAGTTAGTTGTTTCTTTCTTTTCCTTTTTTTTTTTTTTTCTCCTTTTCTGACTAAGCTACTCTTTCACAGATCGACAGAGTAAATCTAGAAATCCAGCAAGCCGAGCGAGAGTACGATCTCAACCGCGCGGCCGAGTTGAAATACGGGAGCCTAAACTCCCTTCAGCGGCAGCTCGAGACCGCCGAGAGAGAACTAGACGAGTACTTGAAGTCCGGAAAATCCATGCTCCGCGAGGAAGTCACCGGCAACGACATCTCCGAAATCGTGAGCAAGTGGACGGGAATTCCCGTCTCCAAACTCTTGCAGTCGGAGAGGGAGAAACTTCTGCATCTGGAGGAGGAGCTCCACAAACGCGTAGTCGGCCAGGACCCCGCGGTTCGGTCTGTGGCCGATGCCATTCAGAGGTCTCGGGCGGGACTCTCGGACCCCCACCGCCCGATCGCTAGTTTCATGTTCATGGGCCCCACTGGGGTCGGGAAAACCGAGCTGGCCAAGGCCCTCGCCTCATACATGTTCAACACGGAGGAGGCCCTGGTGAGGATCGACATGAGCGAGTACATGGAGAAGCACGCGGTCTCGCGCCTGATAGGGGCCCCGCCGGGCTATGTTGGGTACGAAGAAGGCGGGCAGCTGACAGAGACCGTTCGGAGGCGGCCTTATTCCGTCATTTTGTTTGACGAGATCGAGAAGGCTCACTCAGACGTGTTCAATGTTTTCCTTCAGATCTTGGACGATGGCCGGGTGACCGACTCGCAGGGGAGGACGGTGAGCTTCACGAATGCGGTGATTATCATGACCTCGAATGTGGGGTCACAATATATTCTGAACACTGAGAACGAGGACATGCCCAGGGAGGCGGCATACGAGACTATAAAGCAGCGGGTGCTGGAAGCTGCGAGGTCGGTGTTCCGTCCCGAATTCATGAATCGGGTGGATGAGTACATAGTGTTCCAGCCTCTCGACCGTGACCAGATTAGCAGTATTGTTAAGTTACAGGTTAGTTCTTTCTTCATATCTTGGTCATTGTTGTTGGAATTTAAGATTTTACAATTTGATGTCACTATGATGGAACACGTCTGTCATGGTGGAACTTCTTCTGGGAGTTGCGGTACTTCCTCAAGAGTTCTTAACCTGCTGGCTGATGATATGAATTATTGCAACTGTGTTGTCCCAAGTGATCCCTTTATTGCATCGGTTAACAATTTAGTCTTACTATATTCCAAGAAAAGTTCTATACAAAGTAAACAGGACACAATGGCTATTTTTTGAAATTACCACCACCTTATTGACAATGAATGCAAAATTATCACCACCTTATTGACAATGAGTTGAAAAGATCCAACTCAAGGGGTTTTCTGAGACACGATTGATCCATCAAAGTAAACATAATCTTGAAGGATTTGTTTTTAATATTCTTGGGGTATGTAATTTGAAACCTTTGGGAGACAGATGGATTGTTTTGCTCATTTCTATTGCCATAATGTGTGGTGTACTTCTAGAATTTATCCTGTTGCATCTGTTATTAGTTACCGAGTCATTTTTATTTCGAACGTGCTCTATAGTTCAGAGGTAACAGTTTCTGCATGCAGACTGCACAGAACTGACGTTCACAGCGATTTTTCATTCCTTTGTTATGGACCCATAATTAAGTTCTCTTCAAAATTGATTTAAGACTGCATTCTTATATCTTCATCTACTTGGAATGGATAAGTCCTACTAATCTTTTCATTCTTCTTGCTGTGGCCAAACAGTTGGACCGTGTACAAAAGAGGATAGCAGATCGGAAAATGAAAATTCAGGTGACAGATGCAGCAATCCAAGTACTAGGCAGCCTCGGCTATGATCCCAACTATGGGGCCCGGCCTGTGAAGCGTGTGATCCAACAATATGTTGAGAATGAGCTTGCCAAGGGAATTTTGAGAGGAGAGTTCAAGGATGATGACACGATAGTTTTGGACACTGAGGTCATGGCTTTTGCTAACGGCCAGTTGCCCCAGCAGAAGCTCGTCTTCAGGAAGCTGGAATCAGGTTCAGGTTCCTCTTCTGAAAGCAAAGGAGCTGCATTCTCACAAACAACATGAGATTATATCATACTTGGTGCTTCTAATGTATAAGAGTCTTGTTTTGCCTGTCAAAATGGGATATTTGATATATGACTACACTGTTGGTTGTAATTACTCAGTGGGCCTTGTGCAATCCTTATATACAGTGTTAACACTGAGCATTTTATGGTTTGTTCATCCAATGTTATCGACTCGCACGAGAGCTTCTCGAATCAAACTGTATATTTGGGAACATTTTTATGGTTTGTTTCCATACAATATTATGAGACTTCAAATTTTGATATATGGAAATGTCGAAAAATCTCTCCTCAAATTGGCTCTTCGTCACCACCAAGCCCACGAACTCTAAGCCGACTCTGAAGAGGCTACGAATATAACTCAAATCAACACTCACGCTCACACACTTTAAGGTCATCCATCTGAAAGACAGTACTAACTTCATCCAACTCCGAAGAGGCTATGAACATAACTCAAATCAACACTCACGCTGACACACTTTAAGGTCATCCATCCTAAAGACAAAGTACTAACTTCAAAATAAGAAGCCAACAAACTTGAAAACTCTAGTTCACGTCGTTTGACTACATAGATCTAAAGAAAGGAACCCAAATCTGACTTCATAAAAACCGTCAGCAGATTGAGGGAGATCCACATCTCGAGTAGACGCACACTCAAGATGACTTTATGGGGGCATTTATAAGAGCAATTTACATATTTGTTAACATATAAAAAACAACCGGACAAAAAACAAGAAAAAAAAAGGGGAATGGACAGAAATCAAAAGCACGTATTCACTGAATACGTTTTTGTATATTTTAATTAAAAAACGTATTCACTGAATACGTTTTTTATATAATTTAATTGAAAAACGTATTCACTAAATACGTTTTTCACATTTTTTTATAAAAGAAAACGTATTCACGGAGTACGTTTTCCATTTAATTTTTCAAAAGCCGTATTCCTTGAATACGGGCTTTTGATTTCTGTCCACACCTTTTTTCCTTTTTTTTTTTGTCCACCTTTTTTCTTTCTTTTTTTTTTCCGTAAAAAATTCGGCATTTATAGAGCCAACGCAAATTAACAATCCATCACCTTGTCATAATCTTTCATAAATGGGCCAATGTCCACCATCTTGTCATAATCTCTATCTCTATCTCTATCTCTATCTCTACTAACTTAAAAATGTGAATATTTTTGTAAAAATTTAGATAGACAAAATTACCCTTACTCTTTTAATTTTTTGATGTCTTAATTATCTTTTGTTAAGAGTCCATTTAATGAGAGAGAGTAGTAATTGTTCCTTAATTATATAAACATTTCTTTCTATTTTATATTTTGGGTATTTTTTAGTGGATATTTTATTTTGGTTAATGGATGCAATTTTTTAATTAGTTCGGGTTTTGGATGTCAACTTATATAAATCGCTTATGATTTAATAAGCGACCCATTAGTTCTTCATTTTAATGTCATGTAATTTGTGTTTTAAATAGCAGTTGATCTCTTTTTTCATATTTCTAATTTTTCAACCTAATAATGTTTTTCAAACTAATGCGAGAAAAAAATAACTAACATGTGGTATTTTTTTTTTTTAATAACATCCCAGCTTGGGATGGGGGGTTGAGGCTACACCCCCGACCTGTGAATATAATGGCTCAACTGGGGCTAAAGAAGTCAAGGTTCTACATCTAAGTCGCAAATACATAGAGCAACATCAAAAGCAGAGAAAATAAAATAAAATAAAAAATTAAAAATAAAAAAAAATAAAATACAAGGAACACAAAAATATCCACTGAGGATCTAAACTCAAATCCTCAAACATGTCGACCTGGTCAGAGTGACAAGGCATAGAGTCCAAAATGTCAAATCTAGTCAGGGGCAGGAGGTGGCGGTCGACCGAATCTGAAGGATGGGTACTCTAACTGGTCCATCCGAATGAGTGTCCGAAGCCGGAGGGGAATGTCCTCAGGAAGAAAGGTGCGTCTCTGAGGTATAGATGCTCCCGTGCTAGCAAGGAAATCAGCAGGCCGGTTCCCCTCCCGGAATATGTGTGAGACCTGGTACTGGATCGAGCGGAGGGTGTCTCTGATACGCATAAGAGGATGCTGGATCTGCCATGAGCCCTGGTGGCCAGATGTCAAAAGTGTGATGACAGTCGCAACATCCATCTCTATCCAAACATGAGAGGAGATCGAGGCAGCAATCTCAAGACCAATCTGGAGCGCCTGAATCTCTGCATCATAACTCGAGGAGGCCCGGAGTGGCCCATGGAAGGCGGAGATGAGAGCCCCCTCATGATCCCTAATCAGGCCCCCTCCTCCATCTTTCCGGTGTGTCTGTCGAAAGCGCCATCAGTGTTTAGCTTAACCCAAGGGGCCTTGGGTTTCAGCCAAACAACGGTCCTGGGTCGTGACTGCTGGACAGGTGAAGGAGGTGGTGGCCTCAAACGATGGGGCGGTGTACACTCTGTCCAGTCTCTGGTCGTGA